AGCTTGCTTTAAAAAAAAAAAAAAATCCAGAACCAGATATCAGGGAGAAACTGAGAGATCAGAGAAGCAGAAAGAAGCCAGCCATATTCTTACCACTTGGAAATCCTCAGCCAAAAGAGAGCTACTTCCTGTATCCTCATGCCTATATCCTTTCTGAGCCCTGCCATCTCACTTCCTCTCTCTGCCCAGCTACATCACTTCCTGTCTTTCTGTACAGACCTCCAGACCTCTATGGTTAACTAGTTCTGGGAAATAAAGGCATGTGCCAGCACACCTGGCTCTGTTCCCAGTGTGGCCTTGAACTCACAGAGATCTGGATGAATCTCTGCCTCCAGAATGCTAGGATTAAAGGCGTGTGCTACCATTGCCTGACTTCTATATTTAATATAGTGACTGGCTTTTTCCTCTGATTCTCAGATAAGCTTTATTGGAGTGCACAAATAAAATATCACCACAACCATTCGAGATGGGCTTTTTTGTAACAGTCTCCCAAAGCCACTACTGGCAGAATTCATGTCAACAATTTAGTCATTGAGTCTATGGAGGAGAGGAGATGATGAAGAATTAATTACTTGTTGGTAGTTAGGTAATTCTGAGGATGATTAGAAAAAGACTGTAAAACTCTAGCAAATTATAATCTATAGAAAAATATGGCAAATGTTTAACAATAAACTGCCTTCTCCTAGGAAATCAGATGCAAAGAATTTATTAGCCAAGTTTATAAAAAGCAGCCTATTGTGCGATTCATGTTTTAAGAAAATGTTGTGCCATTATATACAAACTAGTGATTTTTCCCACTTTTAAAGACATGTACACTTGCTTGGCTGATTCTGTAGTCATGCATGAGTATTTACTGATGTAAGTAGTGGTTTTGACACCTCAGTGAGTTTTCTTTTTTCTTTTCTTTTTTTTTTTCTTTCAGCGCTGAGGACCTAACCCAGGGCCTTGCACTTGCTAGGCAAGCGCTCTACCCTCAGTGAGTTTTCTTTTCTTTTTTTTTTTTTTTTGGTTTTTCGAGACAGGGTTTCTCTGTGTAGCTTTGCGCCTTTCCTGGAACTCACTTGGTAGCCCAGGCTGGCCTCGAACTCACAGAGATCCGCCTGCCTCTGCCTCCCGAGTGCTGGGACTAAAGGTGTGCGCCACCACCGCCCGGCTTTTTTTTTTTTTTTTTTGTCAGTGAGTTTTCTTAAGCACATAAGCATATACACAAAGCAGAAAAGCAATTTACATTGTAAACCATTGGCAGTTTACCCAGTACGATCCCTTCTTCCTACTCAGATTGTATACTGATGGGCCACTATTTTGTACAAAGTGGTGGAACTGAACAGTGATTTCCCCTACCCACCCCCCACCCCACAGCCCTCAAATAATGTGTCCGTACATGAGATCCTCTTGTAGAAACTTGTTCTTCCTAAGCAGAGAACCAGCTGCTTGCCTTCCTTCTCCACATATTTTGGCTGATTCCTTAAGTATTTGAGTGGTAACCGAAGATACCACTAGAAGGGTTTTAGCCTTATCTTGGGAAAAGTTCATATGACATCATTAAAGGATTAAATACATGCCAACATTAGAGAATTCTTATTTTAAAATTGAGTAATATGTTCACCAGCAGAGTTCCTTTAAAATTTCTTGACAAAAGGATCTTACTTTGTTTTAAGACGCAGGAAATTTTTACAGTAGGTCAAGCCATGGGTGTGGTGATATTGTGTTCCCCAATATATTGTGCACCCTAATAAACTTATTTGGGGTCAGAGAACAGAACGGCCACTAGATATTGAGGCCAGAAAATGGTGGCACACACACTTTTAATCCTAGCATTCCAGAGGCAGAGATCTGTCTGGATCTCTGTGAGTTCAAAGCCACACTGTAAACAGCCAGGCATAGTGACACACCCCTTTAATCCCTGCAAGTGATGGCAGGAAGCAGAAAGGTATGTAAGGCATGAGGACCAGGAACTAGGTCTGGTTAAGCTTTTAGGCTTTTGAGCAGCAGTTCAGCTGAGGTCCATTTGGATGAGGACTCAAGAGGCTTCCAGTTTGAGGAAACAGGATCAGCTGAGAAGTTGGTGAGGTGAGATTAGCTGTGGCTTGTTCTGTCACCCTGATCTTCCAGCGTTCACCCCAAAACCTGGCTTCAGGTTTGATTTTATTTAATAAGACCCTTTAGAAATTCAGCTACACATGGGCCCTTTCTTTCCCATGGCGGAAGTGTTATTTTATAGTGGTGCCCTGGCTTGTAAGCAGTGGGCACCGCTGAAGGGCTGAACTCGGGCATTCCAAAGGCATTCCTGTGCATGCAGATACAATCAAGCGGCACTTCGCAGCACAATGCCATGGTGGCAGAAGGTTCTGGAACAGGTTAGCTGTTGTTCCTTTGGAGTCCCTTTGCAACGTGAGTAGAGGATGCTTGACTACCATAGAGCCCGCACAGTAATAGGCTCAGTCTCTAAGACCCTCGAATTATTCTTACAATAGCAGGGAGTTCCTATGTGGTACCCGGAGGTACTTCTGATACCAGCGTTCTTTTTGCAGAAGGGTGGAGCTAAAAGCAACACAGGTGAGCTCACAGACCGTTGACGCTCTCGTCTACAGCTGGCGTTGATATTTCTATATTGCACTTGTGATGAGCGTCTGCTCAGATGGTCCCCTGATGTGGCTTGCTTCTACCAGGACCAATTACACCAAAAGAGACTTTGGATAAGCGATTTTTAAGATCTGGCTGGTGCTAAGTAAAGCAGTTCCTCACTACTCCGAAGGGACCATACTATTGTATGGCATATGAGGAAAAACCATGGCTTCTGTTGCCTTATCAGGAGGCATAACAATATTAGGAACTTCCTCCTATAAGAAATGGTTGTTATAGCCGTTTTTTTCCTGCAGGAGGAAGGGAGACATACGCACATGAGACTCTGGAGGTAAACAAAACATGTTTGGGAAAAGCCAAAATTTGCAAGGTTCTTGCAGCACCCTCCTCAGCTATTAGAGAAGCAGTAAATGTCTGCAGGGGTGGCCCAGGAAGGGCAGACTGACTGAGCTGCCTGCCAGCTGTGCAGAAAGCGCAGCTTTCCTGAGGCTTCACCCTTCTCGGGGTGGGGTGTTTTGTTTTGTTTTATAAGTGCAGCTGCTTCTGAGTCATCTCTGCTTCTGCAAGTAACCCCTCCCCCATACTCCTGTTAGTAACCCCTCCCCCGTACTCCTGTTAGTGACCCCTCCCTCATACTCCTGTTAGTAACCCCTCCACCATACTGTTATAGATTTATAGAAATGGGTTAATTTAAGATATAAAAACAGTTAGCAAGAAGCCTGCCACGGCCATACAGTTTATAAGTAATATAAGCATCTGAGTGATTATTTTATAAGTGGGTTGTGGGACTGCGGGGCTTGGTGGGACCTGGAGAGAAACCCTCCAGCAACAGGGATGAGTCCCAAGCAGAGTGAACTAAGGCTCTTGCACAGAGCACGTGAATGTTGACTGTTTTATACCTAAGTATGCCAGCAATGTAAGAGCTGCTTGTTATTTATTAAGTGGCACAAAGTTATTTATTAAGTGCCACTGTTTACTGTGCAAGAAAAGCCACGAGGCACAATAAAACCCACTATATGAGTTTATTAAGGGAATAGAGAGGGGGTGTGCCTAGGCCTATGGAATGACCATGCAGGAAGAGAGGGAAGGAATAGGTGGAACCCGCTTTTATAGGTATACCCCCCCCCACACACACACATGCGCATATGGGCTTACGTAGCTACGCCATGCATGTGCATAGATTACATGATCACGTTACGCACAAATTACATGATCATGCAGTGCATGTAAGTCCCTCTAGGATGACTAAGCATCTTGCCTGGCTACTGAACAGCGAACAGACAGATGTGAGGTCCTGTAGCTGGGGGAGTAGCTAGGAATACTAACACTGCTGACAGTCAACAATGTTAATTTCTTGTTTCGAAAGCAACAACCATTACAAACGCGCAGCTAGCCAGGCAGTGGTGGTGGGTACCTTTAATCCCAGCACTTGGAAGGCAGAGCCAGGCGGATCTCTGTGAGTTCAAGGCCAGCCTGGTCTACAGAGTGAGATCCAGGACAGGCACCAAAACTACACAGAGAAATCCTGTCTCCAAAAAAAAAAAAAAAAACCAAAACAAACAAACAAACAAAAAACAAACAAAAGTGCAGCTAATGAAATAGATCTCCATCAAAAACACTTAGGACTGAGGTCAATTGTGATGTAAAATATTGTGTCACTGGGTTCTTCCATGGGAACTTCTTAAATTGGAAGCCAAATGGTGACATTCAGGCTGAAATGAAAGGCAGTCCCATTTCTTGGTGTGGTACTGGAAAAGGATCCTTGTCTTTTGAAAGAGGAGCCCCAGCAGGTATGAATTTCCTCTCCTGGTGCAACATAGCCTGAGACTATATTCCCCAATTCCTGTGTACTGATTGGGGATGTTCATGAAGTGAGTAAAGAGGGATTACAGAGAAAGGCACATGGTTCTTTCAGCTACAAGGTACAGCTATGGGGCAAAATAATGGATTTCTACAACAATGTAGGACAACTTACTGTTTGCCTCTATGCTATATCTTATGTATAACCAAAAGCTAACACCATACATGATTATTTAATACAAATCAGAACAAATGGAAACTCAGAGTGAATGTATATCAAAGTTTTCTGATTATCACTTAAGTGAACTCCTAACTTAAAAGAAGTTCAAAGCCTGGATGATGGAGATTCCACAGGACTTGGATGATTTGCTACAGTCTGTTACATAAAGATCTCTCATGTAAATGATACCCAGCAGCATAGAGAGGGCATAACACAAAGTACTTCCATTCAGGAGAAATACTCCATTCTTTTCCAGCTCAATAAATTCTAAACTCCAATATATCTATCCAATGAAAGTGAGGTATTTGTTGCTTCTATTTATAATTTGATTCCACTGCGGGCTCTTTACTTCAAGGGACCACTGCATTCAGTATTGCAGATAAAATAGTCAACAGGACATATTAGAGCCTCAGAGTTTTCTTTATGAGGGGGCATACTTTCTTTCTTTTTTCTTTTTTCTTTTTTTTTTTTTTGAAGGTTAGATAGTAAATAGTTGAGGCTTTGTGAACTTAAAGATGAAATCAAGAACATTTACTCTGGTACTTACATAGGAAAAAGAAGATTTTCAAAGAATTTTTTTTTCCCCTTGGGCTGGAGAGATGGCTCAGAGGTTAAGAGCACTGACTGCTCTTCCAGAGGTCCTGAGTTCAATTCCCAGCAACCACATGGTGGCTCACAACCATCTGTAATGAGATCTGGCGCCCTCTTCTGTGTACATAATAAATAAATAAGTCTTAAAAAAAAAAAAGATATCTAAAAAAAAAAAAAAAGATTTTTTTTTTTTTCTCGAGACAGGGTTTCTCTGTGTAACAGCCCTGGCTGTCCTAGAACTCACTCTGTGGACCAGGCTGGCCTCAAACTCAAAGATTCACCTGCCTCTGTCTCCCAAGTGCTGGGATTTAAGGAGTGCACCACCATGCCTGGTGCAAGAATTTCTTTTTTAAAGTGCTTGAGAGATGGTTGAACAGCTACAAGTATGTGCTGCTCAATCATGAGGCCCAGAGTTGGGTCCCAACACCCATGATATGGGCTCAATGCCTGTAAATGGAGCACCAAAGGGTCTGATGCCTTCTCCTAGCCTCAGTGGCACACCCTTCACACACACACACACACACACACACACACACACACACACACACACACACACGTACACGTGCTCGAATGCAGACATACATCAATAAATCTCTAAAATTAAGTAAAAATGAAAATTTTAACACATTCAAAACATAAAATAGAATTTGAAGGTGAATACAATTTGGTCAACTTGGGTTTGTTAGTGTTCCTATCAAAATTAATTCAAAATGTTCATCTAGAATGAGATTTTACTAATTACTGAATTGTTTCTTCCCCCCACAAATAGGTCAGGGTACTATTAAACACGTCTGCCCTAAGCATGATTTTACTTACACGTATCCATCATTTTTAAAGTCATTTATGGAATCCCATTAATCTTTCTTTTCTCTCTCTCTCTCTCTCTCTCTCTCTCTCTCTCTCTCTTTTGGTTTTTTGTTTTGTTTTTGTTTGGATGAACAAGACCTGCTTATTATAAGACAAAACATCTCCTCCATGAATCAAATGGGCATCAGCTGTCTGGTCTTTAAAGGAATTATCTCTTTTGTCCTAAGATTAGCAGGGCTTCTGTGAGATCTGTCTGACCCAAGGAGAAGAGCAGTTGCTGAGATCTGGTCCTTGGGAATCCCATATTCCATCAGGAGCAAGGCATAGATAAGCTGATACACCAATGGTTCCTGCTGGGCAGGGCTGCTTTGCTACTTGCCCCTGACGGGTCTTAAACCACATTATTTCCCGGGGACTCCACAGCTCCACAGCTCTTTTCCATAGCTGGAATGTAGGAGGCTGCAGATGGCAGGTGTTGGTAATGTGGCACCTCCACAGCCGGGGACGGTGTGCTGGTACTGCGGTTCCGTCTGCCTGGCAGGGATGGCGTGGTACTCCTCCCTGTGTTCCAGGTTGTGGTCCGGAGCGTGGTGCTGGTGGCTGTGCTTCCCATGCCCAGGGGGCTTGTGGTAGAAATTCCCTGCCAACTTCTCAGCCAATCCTGTTTCCTAAAACTGGAAGCCTCTGAGTCCTCATCTGAATGGAGCTCAGCTGAACCAGTGTTCTCTTTTTTAGCATGCCCTTCATTGTATATAATCTCCAATGGATTAAGAAGAAGCTCTTGGATGGTTAAGTGCTCAGCCCTACACAAGACATGTAGACCACTCCCAAGGCTCAGGGGATTATCACAGAAGGAGGTAGGGGGAGAATGGGAGCTGGAAAATAAGAAGACGGGCTGTGAAATACTTTTGGGCATGGCACAGCCATTCCAACCATGACCTGACAGCAGCTGCCTGCATTGGACCTACACAAGACTGTACATGTCAACAGCTAATCACAGATCAGTAAGGGGCTCCCTGCAGAGCTATTGCTGTGGATGGGGATGGATTCTAGCAGGAGGTGGCTGTCATTGTCTTTGTCTGAACTCACTGGGGAGCCTATCAGGCTTCAGTGGTAGTTCCCAGCACATGGTCACACAGACAGCCCCGATTACACTAGGTGGGCCATCAAACAAAACAATATCAATGAGGAAAGGGGACTGACTTGTAGGATGGAGCAGGAGGTGAACGGGAGAGAAGAGAGGGTAGGAGGTGAGAACAATCACAATGCAATACATACGTGTATTAAACTGTCTGTTTGTACACCACGTGTGTGCTTGGGGTCTGGAGGCACCAGAAGAGGGATTCTGTTGAATCCCTGGGAATGTCTGATGGTGGTGAACCACCATGTGGGTGTTGGCAACCGAACCCAGGTCCTCTGCAAGAGCAACAAGTGCTCCTAACCATGGAGCCGTCTCTCCAAAGAACAAATTTAGTAATCGTTATTTAAAATAAAAAAAAATAAAAAAAACTCAATTGCAGTTAAATGGACTTTGAAATACAATTTTCATTGCATTTGCATCAAAATAAAGGAAGTAAAGACCTGTGGGAAAACACATCCAGTGAGTTTTTTTTTTTTTTTTTTGGTTTTTCGAGACAGGGTTTCTCTGTGTAACTTTGCACCTTTCCTGGAACTCACTCGGTAGCCCAGAGATCCGCCTGCCTCTGCCTCTCAAGTGCTGGGATTAAAAGTGTGCGCCACCACCGTCCGGCCTCCAGTGAGAATTTTTAAGCCTCTCTCTCTCTCTCTCTCTCTCTCCCCGCACATGCCATGCCATCTGTGAAAGTAAGAGTACAACTTTTAGGAGCTGTTCTTCCCTTCTACTTGTTGCTGAAGGGAACTCCAAGCCCCTGAGCTTCTGAGTGATACTTCTGCCTCTGTCCCACTTTCTTGTGGGAGTGCTGGGATCACAGATGTGTACCTTTGAGTCCAGCTTTTTGTTGTTGTTGTTGTTGTTTCAAGATAGGGGTTCTCTGTGTAGTTTTGGCGCCTTTCCTGGAACTCGCTCTGTACACCAGGCTGGCCTTGAACTCACAGAGATCTGCCTGGCTCTGCCTCCTGAGTGCTGGGATTAAAGGTGTGCACCACTGCTGCCAGGCAGGTCCAGCTTTTTACATGGATTCCAGGGACTGAACTGGGGTCATTGGGTTTGCATACCTAATGCTTTTACCCACTGAATCATTTCTGTCAGCCCTCTGAGTTGAATTCTAATAGCACCAAAAGTATAAAACAACTTGGTATGCTTCTGATTTAAATGTTAGTTTTTGCTGAAAATTTATCACAGGAAAGGTTTTGTTTTGCACTGTAAATTTAGGGCATAATTGTTAAGGAAAGCTATTGAACTCACAACAAGAGCTGGTAGCCAAAGCTACGTGGTGTCCCATGGGACTGAAAACTGTAGATGTAACCAACCGTCTTATTAAAATAAGAAACACAGAACCAATGTAAAAGAGAAATCCGAGAGGTCAGAGCTCAGAGCTAAAATCTTACCTCCTGCGGTGCTCCTACCTCCCTGAAAGAGAGCTACTTTCTGTGTGTCTGTCTTTTTTGTGTGTGTGTGTGATTCTTTTTTTATTTTATTTTATTTAAAAAACATTTTTTTTTATTTTACAATACTATTCAGTTCTACATAACAGCCAGAGATTCCCTTGTTCTCCCCCTTCCTGCCCCCCTTCCCTTCCCCCCAGCCGACCCCCCATTCCCACCTCCTCCAGAGCAAGGCCTCCCCCGAGGACTGAGATCGACCTGATAGACTCAGTCCAGGCAGGTCCAGTCCCCTCCTCCCAGACTGAGCCAAGTGTCCCTGCACAAGTCCCAGGTTTCAAACAGCTAACTCATGCAATGAGCCCAGGACCTGGTACCACTGCCTAGATGCCTCCCAAACAGATCAAGCCAATCATCTGTCTCACCTATTCAGAGGACTTGATCCAGTTGGGGGCCCCTCAGCCTTTGGTTCATAGTTCATGTGCTTCCATTCGTTTGGCTATTTGTCCCTTTATCCAACCTTGGTTTCAACAATGTCTATCTTTAAATAGTCTTTCTGTTCTGCCTTCTCATTGGTTGTAAACCCAAACACGTGACTGCCTTGTCACTGCCTGTAAGTACAGCCCTCCAGGTCTTAAAGGCATATGTCTCCAATGCTGGCTGTAGCCCTGAACACACAGAGATCTACCTAGCTCTTCTACCAAGTGCTGAGATTAAAGGCATGTGTCACCACCACCAGCACCAGCACCACCACCAGCACCACCACCACCACCACCACCACCACCACCACCACGCTCTTGCTATGGCTCTAATAGCTCTGACCCCGGGGCAACTTTATTTATTAACATA